TAGTGATGAGCGATATTTCACTACCGGTGATTTTTTCACTGTAACTAAAAAATCGCATATCGCAACTTCGATCACATTTTATAAATACCAATCCGCTTCTATGGACTGCGATTGCGATAGCAGTTCGAACTGCACAAAAAACTTGTGAAACTGTGATTTTGTAATATAACAGTACATGCGATCACAATAGCAAATAGAGGAAAAGTAGCAGCTTTCTTCAGGTCATTGTATATATATATGCGTATATATTATTTTTCGTCATAGCGGTTTGAAGTTTTGAGTTTAACGTTCTTATAATTTTTAATAGTGGCAAGAAATGTGTGAAGGAAACGAAATGAAATATGGCAGATGTTTGAAGTGGTAGATGGAATATATGCAAAATGCAATATTTCAAAATCAAAAATTTCATATAAACATCTTTAACAAATTAAAAAAAAAAACATGAAAACAGAATACTTAGACATCCTATACTGAAATTACTAGCTCAAAATGTATATATGTAATAATTTAACATTTTTTAATATAAAGTTATTCACTTTTGCTTTATTAATAGAAACAAGCAAATAATACTTTGCGAAAATGTAGTGAAAAGAAAGGCGGAAAAACTTGACTCGAGTTACAGGACCCAAAAGAGAATTTTCCACCAATAACGACAAAAGGTTTTCGTCATTCCCACGACAGTCGGGTCTACGTAACTGGAACGGACCCGGACTTTTATTCAGTCAAACACTGTTAAATCGGCAGAATCTGCCGCTACAACAACAACCATAACAAAAGGTCACCATTTGAACGTCGACTTACTTGCGATTGCAATAGTAATATAAAACCACAGTGATTTTAAAATAGCATTCACTGAAATCACAGATATCGAAAAATCGCAATATCGCTCATCTCTAGTTGATTCCAACTTACAAAATTCTATAACAGAATTAAATCAGCAAATAAAAATTAACAGTCACTTTAACTCAACAATACAGCTTATTAAAGAAACAATAAACCAGAATCAGAAGAATGTTCTTTATCAGACGGATGCATAAAACTATAAAAGATGTTTTGTTACAATATATCTATTTAGAAAAATTACTTATATTAAATTCAATTAAAAATCATATTAAGCATATTCAAACATATATAACTCAGCACAAAATGGTATTAATGATGCCAATATCCTTACAAAAAAATTAAACGGATTATTATAATATAAACATTGGAAAAATTAAATACTTAAGAACGGCAATATTTTAAAAAGAAAGAGAATTAATATTTGTAATCAAAGTACATAAAATATCCCTTATTTAAATAAAGAAATAAATGCTGACATTTCAAATATATTCAAATATAATGATAAGATTTATGAGTACAAGAAGAATTAATACCATATGAAAACACCATACAATAGATAAGACATGTGAATTAATTACAAAAGTTAACTCAGAAATAATTAAGGGTTGTGTTTAGTATCGCGCCGGTTAATTTTGGCTCGCCGTACCTAAACGARAGAACCAAATGGAAAATTTTAAACACGCATGTATGCTTAAATTATCGAACTTTRTTTTAAAACATATTTTATAAAAATCGGTTCACAAATTTTTCCACAAATTCACTTTAAAAAATGCTATTTTTTGCAAA